GATCACTCACTTCCCAATTTAGGAAGAGCTAGGGGCCCCCTTTTTAAAAATTACGAACCTAGATTATATAAGGAATTTTAACCACTGTGCCAGGCCGGTGTAAAGATGTGTAATGACTACCATAGTAATGAAATGACGGGTCATTTTCTAACGACAAAACCCCGAAGAAAAAAAAGTCCCATTTTTTGTATGCACTATCTAAAAATGTTACCCCTGTTGAAAATTGACATTTTTTTTCCATTAGAGTGTTTGAACTTCAATGTTTAATTCTCCAATATGTCCCCATTGACCAACAGTGGACGTATGTTTAAATAAATCACCATTACATTTGTATATTTCTATACTTCAAACACATTGAAAATCGCAAAATGCCAAATATTAGTTATATTGGTTGGCTGTCTTTTATTCCTTTCATATTTGGACGTTTGACTGATTATAGACATTGACAGCTAAGACAAAAAAGCGGAAAGATATGCAATGATTTATAATTATGTATATATTTTGGATGCTATTATTAGGTAGAATGTATCGAAAAGGATATTAAAAATATCTCGTATGAAGACATACTTTTGGTATAATATATTATGTATTTCCTAATGAAAAAAAGGTGAAATTAATGAACACTGATTTTAAAATATCAACAATCTATTGGAATTCCCATAGGTAACAATTGTGCTCCATTAACAGCAGACCTGTTTTTATATTCATATGAAGCAGAATTTGTGCAAAATCTTATGCGTGAAAAGAAGAAAACACTCGACATTTAGATATATCGACGATCTATTGTCAATTAACAATAGTAATTTCCATTCCTACGTCGATACAATATATCATGGTGAACTTGAGATAAAAGATACCACAGAGTCTGGCACATCTGCTTCATACTTGGATATTTTACTTGAAAAATGTGTTAATGGTAATCTAACAACCAAGCTACATGTATATGATAAACGTGATGACTTTAACTTTTCTATCGTCAACTTCCATTACATATGCAGCAATATGCCTTCATCACCTGCATATTGCGTCTATATATATATATCAATTGATTCGATACGCAAGAGTACCTATATTCTCTACGTATGAACAATTTCTAAATCACAGTAAATTATTGACAAGAAAGTTGATGAAAAAAGAATATCAGCAGTCTCGTTTAAAGACATCATTTCTTTAGTTCTATGGTCGATACACGGCGGGTGTGACCGGTCAGCAGGGGATGCTCACTCCTCCATGGCTCCTGATCCCACTTCTGATGTTTCGCAGGTCAGTGTTTGCTCTGCTCCTATTCTGTATTGTTGTTTAGATGTTGATACTGAATACTGTTCGTTATCTCCATATCCTTCTTCCGTCAGTTATAAATACAAGTTGCTGTCCTTAAAAAAAGGACTGAAATACGTGGACCATATGCATGTTTTTCTAACCGAAATTCAATTAAGAAATTTTCTAGTTGTAGTGAATATTCATGTAGGTTAGTTCTCATTTTCCACAATGATCTGCCTTCTTATGACTGATTGTAGTTTCAAAGCAAAGTTGTTAAATTTTATCTCCGATTAGTGGCCTTAAGTTATGTCAGTTTCAAAAATCGGGCTATTTGATACATGTGCATGTAACGTTAATGGCTGCGACTTGACACCTGTTTTGGATTTATGCGGAAGAAGAACCGAGATATGATGATGGTTCACGTGTATCACAGCTCTGTAGCACGCAGAATTTTTTGCCCCCCCCCCTTCCCCACACACACATTAAAACCCGTTGCTATATATAGACCTCTATCAAACGGTATTGGATTGCTGAAAAAATTATTTTGCGAACCTTGATGCACAAGACTTATGCCATTGCAAACTTCTTCTATCTTTTAAAATCTAGAATTAGTCGTTGAGTGACGTTTTTCATTCAAGATGTTAAGTTACATGTATATAAGTTCTTCCTACTTTTTAAAATGCTTGTACAATAGAATCATAGTTTAGTTTGTACATAAAAGGTATATGACTGTATAAGTGGGAAATTTGGATCCGCTAATGACTATGTGAATGCGATATGTGGATTTAAAAGCGCGATTTGCAAATAATGGCATATTCTAATTCGAATAGGGCGAATTATTCTACGTGCAGGTTACCTAAGGTGCGAACTCTCCATCATTCTCGCGCATTCATAGCCTGTCGTTTGCATCCTGTTAAGTTTCGCTTATATATTTGCTTCGTGGACCTCAGGGTCCGCGCAATCATGACTGCAATATATTCCTTTTAAAATTGTTCCTTTACAAAGCAATAAACGAAAAAAAGTCCATCATATCTATTGTTATACCTTTAAAAATTAGTTCTTACATAAATCTAAACGAAAAAATTCTAACATTTTTAATGTTTTGCTGAGCGGGCACAAAAAAAATCGATGTTGGACCGTTTAGTGAGATGTTGGACCGCTTACGTCACAGGATGGGTGGGGCTGAATCTCATTTTCATTCGTTAAACAGTGACTGAGTTAATGTTAAACCACGGAATGCAGTACAAAATACATGCATGTCAATAAAATAAACTGAAAAGTATAACAAAATAATTATTGACAGAGTTCTCGGGCTAAATGCGCTTTGTCGGACCTTCGAACCAAACTGTGTGCCTCAGACAGACAGTTTGGTTCTTGGGTCCGTCAAAACGCATGTTGCCCTCGAACCCAGTCAATAAATGTGTAATGATTTGCTGAGCGGGCATAAAAACATTCGATGTTTGACCGCTTTGTGAGATGTTGGACCGGTCGATGAGATGTTGGATCGCTTAAGTCACATGAAAATCAAAAGTTACAATGCAAACAAGAGGCCCATTGGCCACATTGCTCACCTGAGCACATGGGCCAGTTAAAAAAACAAGTCAGCTCAGTACTGAAGTTTACTTGTTTATTGGGGATGAATTTTTTTTATTACTTGAGAACTCACTTGATTAAAATTATATGTTAAATTGGTTTTCATTTTTGATGTCCCTTTTGGGAGACAAGATCGAGATGTTTCGGACCTTGGAATGATTTTAATCCTTGACCTTTTTATTTGATCGGGGCTCACCTGAGCACATCGTCTAGGAAAAAGCACAGATCAGGTCAAAACTGAAAAATTGAGGGGGGGGGGGGGCGCTTGGTTATGTTTTGAACAAACTTAAATATACATTAAGGGGGTTGATTCCATATAAATATCACTAATCATGGCTTTGAAGTACCTGAGAAGAATTTTTAAAAAGATTTTCATATATATTCCTATCAAAAAGTTTCATCGGCAATTTTTGGCCCCATTCTACCCCTGGGGGTCATGATTTGAACAAACTTGAATCCACACTACCTGAAGATGATTACACATGAGTTTCAACTTTCTTGGCCCAGTGGTTCTTGAGAAAATGATTTTCAAAGATTTTTCCTATATACTCCAAGGAAAACTTTGATTGGCCATTGTGGCCCCATCCTACCCCTAGGGGTCAAGATTTGAACAAACTTGAATCTACACTACCTGATGATGATTACACATGAGTTTCATCTTTCCTGGCCCAGTAGTTCTTGAGAAGATGATTTTTAAAGATTTCTCCTATATACTCCGTTGTGAATTTTGATTGGCCATTGTGGCCGCACCCTACCCCCGGGGGTCATGATTTGAACAAACTTGATTCAACTCTACCTGAACATGATTACACATGAGTTTTCATCTTTCCTTGCCCAGTAGTTCTTGAGAAGAAGATTTTCAAAGATTTTTCCTAATATATACTCCTATGTAAAACTTTGATCGGCCATTGTGGTCTCACCCTACCCCTGGGGGGTCATGATTTGAACAAACTTGATTCAACACTACCTGAACATGATTACACATGAGTTTTCATCTTTCCTTGCACAGTAGTTCTTGAGAAGAAGATTTTCAAAGATTTTTCCTAGTATATACTCCTATGTAAAACTTTGATCGGCCATTGTGGTCTCACCCTACCCCTGGGGGGTCATGATTTGAACAAGCTTGAATCTACACTACCAGGGTCTGACAAATCCCATTCCCCGACGCCCGGGGCTAGTGAATTTTAGATCGGGGGCAAGTGAACTTTTTTAATAGGTACATGCCCGTGGGCAAGTGACTTTAAAAAAAATCAATAAATATTTTTTTTAAATGTTATAGGACAGGAGTCTGAAGTTCTTTATGTCAAAAAAAAAAAATCCGGAAAAAAATTTTCCTACCTTCAACTTATATATAAATTCACCAGGATGGCAACGTTTTGGGGGAACCCACCTAAACAAATAGATCTGGGCTTGGCCTAAAAAATCTCGCAATAAATTCAGTATTCGAAGCGTTTTACTGTTTATTCAAGTTTAGAAAGCCAATCTGCTTGACGACTACAGGCCGTTTCTGGCTGTTTTTCCAATTTGACAGCTCATCCTGGACTCCATGCCACTAAACTGGAAGTAATTCTCGCAGTGTATATTTGACGTCTTTGAACATGATGAAAGCTTGTTCAAATAAAATAAAATAAATAATTATTCAACATATTTTGATTCAGTTATTCTAAATGTATTTAAAAAACTTTACAAAGTTATCAATTCTTTTTCTAAATTGTAAGACGATATGTACCAGGGACAGAAAATTCTATAGATTTTTTACACGGTTCCAAATTTAAATCATTGAAAAGCCAAGTCAACAAAATGCCAAACAGTTTGTCTTACCGCCCTGATGAGGCATTAATTTGTTTTAAATTTTTTTTCTTTTTTTAATTGATCACATATGGAAACATATTATTGTACATGATGATTTACATGCAATTTTTTTGTTTCTTTTCTTCAATTACTTCAAATATTCACTGCGGTGTTCTCTTCCAGTTTAGTGGCATGGAGTCAACTCCATACTCCACTAATAAACCTCTTTCAAGGTCAATGACTTAGTGACCTTGACTGTGACCTTAATGCTAAAATAGCTTTTTCCAAACTTTGTTGCTGCCGGGTGCATAGTGTTTCACAAATACAACTTGTTTTTTTTATAGTCTACTTACCCTCTATACTAGTACTGTGTGTACATCTGTCCTCCACATTCAGCTTACATACAGGATCTTGGCTAGTAGTTGACAAATTCAGGATACCTGTAATTTAAAGAAATATCAGTAAGAATGTGCTGAAAATCACATATTCCCTATAATATCAAATACGACATTATACCGGGGCAAAAAAAATATACATGACTGTACTCATGTTTCCTGTCACCCGACCTATCCTCCATTTTACTCTCTGAACCTAATAGTTTTTTTTTCACGTTTTCATTTTTTTTGCATTTTCCCAAAATGTTTTAATCGGCCAAAAATATTAAATTTTTTTTACAGATGAGTTTCAGAAGCGTTTTAATACAAAACTTGGGCAGACCTGTCAAAAAAGTTATTGAACATACCAATGAGAAGTATGAAAGTCCTAACACCAACTGTACAAAAGTTATAAGTTATAACTAAGGTTGAAGAGTGATATTTTTTGTAAAAGTTGTCAAACTTCAAGGTCAAGAGGTCAAATTTGGTGGTGGTACCCAAATAAAGGTCTTGTCACAAGGAATACAAGTGTACAGCAGTGAAATATGAAAGCTATAGTCCCACTCACTCCAAAGTTATGAGCAAGGTTAAAGCTTTTGAGACCAGGATGGCAACGTTTTGGGGGAACCCACCTAAACAAATAGATCTGGGCTTGGCCTAAAAAATCTCGCAATAAATTCAGTATTCGGAGCGTTTTACTGTTTATTCAAGTTTAGAAAGCCAATCTGCTTGACGACTACAGGCCGTTTCTGGCTGTTTTTCCAATTTGACAGCTCATCCTGGACTCCATGCCACTAAACTGGAAGTAATTCTCGCAGTGTATATTTGACGTCTTTGAACATGATGAAAGCTTGTTCAAATAAAATAAAATAAATAATTATTCAACATATTTTGATTCAGTTATTTTAAATATATTTAAAAAACTTTACAAAGTTATCAATTCTTTTTCTAACTTGTAAGACGATATGTACCAGGGACAGATAATTCTATAGATTTTTTACACGGTTCCAAAGAACTATATGCGGTATTAAACAACATTTGCCCCCCAAAATCAAACTTTGATGGAGTAATATTTAATTAAGTCCTTAAACAGGGGAGTATATGCTGACTTCAAAGCACTGAATAAATTCATAAGTAATGACGTCATATGTACGTAATGACGTCACAAACATGACGTAAATTTCAGTTTTTTATGAATTTTGCAGAAAAATATACATATTTCGTCGATATTTTAAATAAAAGTCACCGAGCGCATGTGTGTTCAGGATAAATATTTTGATATAATGTGTAGAATGATAATATCAATGAAATGTGTCAATATTGTTCCTGAACACACATGCGCTCTATAAGTTTTAAAGCTTAAATTGTTGAAATTTTGTCCATATTGTCCTCTTTCTGAAAAAGGATATAAAATCGGACTAGTTTGTGACGTCATAAAAACAGAAATTGTGAATACACTGCTCTGGAACTATAATATTTTCTGTTAACTTATATTTCTCATACAATTTATTGAATTCAGCACATTTCAGGAAGTTTTCAAAATTTGACTTTTGTGGGGGCAAACATATGCAATATACCGCATATAGTTCTTTAAATCATTGAAAAGCCAAGTCAACAAAATGCCAAACAGTTTGTCTTACCGCCCTGATGAGGCATTAATTTGTTTTAATTTTTTTTTCTTTTTTTTAATTGATCACATATGGAAACATATTATTGTCCATGATGATTTACATGCTGCTTTGCAGTTTTTTTGTTTCTTTTCTTCAATTACTTCAAATATTCACTGCGGTGTTCTCTTCCAGTTTAGTGACATGGAGTCCACTCCATACTCCACTAATCAACCTCTTTCAAGGTCAATGACTTAGTGACCTTGACTGTGACCTTAATGCTAAAATAGCTTTTTCCAAACTTTGTTGCTGCCGGGTGCATAGTGTTTCACAAATACAACTTGTTTTTTTTTATAGTCTACTTACCCTCTATACTAGTACTATGTGTACATCTGTCCTCCACATTCAGCTTACATACAGGATCTTGGCTAGTAGTTGACAAATTCAGGATACCTGTAATTTAAAGAAATATCAGTAAGAATGTGCTGCAAATCACATATTCCCTATAATATCAAATATGACATTATACCGGGGCAAAAAAAATATACATGACTGTACTCATGTTTCCTGTCACCCGACCTATCCTCAACCTAATAGTTTTTTTTTTTCACGTTTTCATTTTTTTTTGCATTTTCCCGAAATGTTTTAATCGGCCAAAAATATTAAATTTTTTTTACAGATGAGTTTCAGAAGCGTTTTAATACAAAACTTGGGCAGACCTGTCAAAAAAGTTATTGAACATACCAATGAGAAGTATGAAAGTCCTAACACCAACTGTACAAAAGTTATAAGTTATAACTAAGGTTGAAGAGTGATATTTTTTGAAAAAAGTTGTCAAACTTCAAGGTCAAGAGGTCAAATTTGGTGGTGGTACCCAAATAAAGGTCTTGTCACAAGGAATACAAGTGTACAGCAGTGAAATATGAAAGCTATAGTCCCACTCACTCCAAAGTTATGAGCAAGGTTAAAGTTTTTGAGGACAAATAGCCAGATGGACTACAGGGCAAAATCTATTTACCAATACATCTTATTTCCACTATGAAAGAGTTTAAGTAAAAAAGTTGCAGAGTGTACATATCTTTCAAGATTTCTGGGACAAACGTAACATAAACATGTAAACAATAAGTTGGATGTCGATGAACAAATCCAACTAAAAATCAAATGAATCATTTTATTGTTCTGGACTTTATACATGTTAATATATGCATGAAGAGAAGATAGGACCAAAATATCAATTTTTATCTAGATTGTTTATCATATGTATCTGATTATCATCTAAATATAATTCACATGCTTTGGAAATGTATTTTTATTATTCGATGATAAATGAGATGGGAGTCCGAGAACATAACGAGCGATAAGTCTATAGCGCAACAAACATGAAGGTGAAAAAATTAAATCTCAATACGTTATGTCTTGACTACCAATGAGTACCAATCTAACTTACCTACGCTCTTTTGCGAGGAGTCGAAAAAAGTCTAAATTTCTGGTGGCAAATGACATTGTTTACATTAGTGACAATCGAATGATTCGAACAAATCACGATGTTTTGCCAGATGTTGAATTCCAAATAGTAGATTGTCAAATAAGGAAAGTTTAGAATACTTTATATGCTGAAAAATGTGACGATTTTCAATCAAAAAATTTAACTACCGGTATAAGAGTCCACTTAATTAAAAATATCTTTAAAAATGTGACAATTTAGGATTGGCTCCTCTCAAAAATATATTAGGCTGGTTCAGCGATTGTTTAGCGAGGTATTCCACCAGGATTTTTTTACTTATCTGTCCTTATAAATGCTACAAATTGAATGATTGATCTTGCATTAATTGTATTGAATAGCACATTGCCCCCACCCAACAGAGTTCAGCTAAGTTAAGTAATCGCGATATCAAGTATTGTATCAAAATTTTCCTAAATATTTCATCTAAACTTTAAAGAATACTTTATGTAAATCTGTCAAATCTCTACATTGAACTTATACATATCTCTTGAAGATTGAAGTTTTTAGTCTGTAACATATAATACACATGCGAAAAAGGGCTAATTGGGTCATTTTTTCACACTGTGACACTTTTAAAAGTAAAAACATGTTTTGAAATGCATGAGTAGGTCTTGAACTTCACTCCACTTTTTTTTCAAGTTAATCCTCAAAGTTTGCATACAAAATTAAATATACTATTTTGGTTTCCAAAATTATGGAGAAAAGACCCACTATACCTTTTAAAAAATTATAATTTTATGACATAACTTTTGTATCTTTTCGAGAAAAACTTGGAAGTCCACTGAGTCAATGGTCATATCACAAACATGATTTAAATGCCAATCCTCATCAGGACTTGTGTAGCATAGTTGTTAGCTTGCTAGTCTCAGTAGAGAATGCTACCCAGGATTTTTATTGCTAGGGTTCAATCTAATGGATACATGTACCACATTTTTATATCTGTGATAGTCAGTTGGTGAAAAAACTGCAACTAAAATTGTGTACAGATCTTGAGACACATGGATATATACAATGTTGACATCAAATTTGCATAAAAATGAATCTCACTACTGGTATATGATATGCCTCGACAAACAGTGTTAAAAAATTTCAAACTTCTTGCTACCATATTAGCTGCTGAAAAAAAGCCATAAAAATTTACGCACAGATAAACAGGAATTTGATGAGAGGATTGCTAAAAAATTAATCCAACCATTATCCCTCAATATGTAATGCCTATAGAAAGATAGACAGACATGCTAATTCCAATATACTCCCAAAATTTGATTGAGAATGGGTTAAAATAATTGTATGTTGTTATTATCCCCTCGCGCAACTAGTTGCGGAGGGGATATAGCATCGCGAATGTGCGTATATATGTGTGTGTGTTAGTGTGTTAGTGTGTTCGTTACCTTGTGGGCAAGATTGACAGAGAACCTTGGCATTAACCTTTCTCAGCGTTTACATACTTGTGTTGCAGTATAAAAGGACGAAGCCTATTAATTTTCAAGTCTATTGATAAATTATTTCTTCAGATATCGCGTTTTTACTGCCTCGAAACCCTGACATTTTATGTACAAGTTGACAATAATCATTTGTGGGCAAGATTGACAGAGAACCTTTGCATTAACTATTCTCAGCGTTTACATACTTGTGTGGCAGTATAAAAGAAAGAAACCTATTCATTTTCAAGTTCAGTGATGAAATATTTCTTCAGATATTGCATTTTTACTATTTCGAAACCCTGACATTTTATGTACGAGTTGACAATAATCATTTCCACTGGGGAACCAGTTTAAAAGCTGTGTCTAGTCTATGGGAACCAGATTAAAAGAATTTGATGAACGTCGCGGCTTCATTACCAATATTCCAACAGGATGAGGTGTCTGGGAATTTAGGGTGCACGCTAAATTGAAAGTGTGTGTGTGAGTCTGTGAGAGGGGGGGGGGGGGTTAAACGAACAAAAAAAGGTAAACTCAAAATTTTCAATGCATAGAGATTGTCTATATTTGCAAAAAGTGGCAGGCTAAGACACCCCCCCCCGGGTTTTGACGCCTATGCCACAGGTTCAAATAAACTCTTGATGTACATTGGTATTTTCATTACGAAAAAAATGAAAATTGCCTGGAACAGTGAAATATACTAATTAGTTAGGTGTAAATAATTAAAATTGCTGAAACTTGTAAATCACTAAATGTAGACTACGTGATATGTTTCTACTAGGTATAAGGGAGACTGCCCAATTATATATATGCTTATTTGTATCCCCCCTTACCCCCTCTCAACTTATATGCTATTCAATTTGATTTTTGTTAAAAATAGACATCCCCACTCCCTATGATTTTGTTCAAGAAATAAATAAAGCTGGATAACAATTAAATACCTTATATTAAACTTTACTACCCAAATTAGGTATCAATGTTATGCCCTGCTAGATTTTTTTTTATTTATTTATTTTTTATTTATTTATTTTTTTTTTTTTTTACAAAATGCACTTTGCATTTTGTAAAAAAAAATTGGATCAACAACACTCCAATAATTATTTTGTCATTAAAAGTAAGGGATTTTATCCTAATGTTGCAGGTTTGAATCCCACTGTGGGACGTGGATACTGGTCCTTCGAATGAGACCGTGTAAACCATGGGCCAATGTCCCAATTGATGCTGGTACAAAATGATCCCTCACTGCTTAATGGCCGTCAGTGCTTTTTAAAGGAAAAAATGTGCAGCTCTTCATGGGCAAGCCTTTATATGAGCAAAATATTCATGAGAGGGACAGTAAAGAAGATTACGTTGTACTATCAATCTTTAAAATATTTAACGTTCCTCTAGAGAATTTACCTCTCATGAGATATTGCCATTACTAATAATGTTCCTGCCGCGAGGGGATGCTCCGCTTAGCGGTGCCCTTGTTGAATATTCCTCACAGTTGACTTGTAGGTTATAATTAACATTGCTGACTTGTGGGGCATATTTCTCACTGTTAACTTGTAATACTTTTCATTGCTGACTTGTGGGGAATATTTCTCACTGCTGACTTGTGGGGCATATTTCTAACTGTTAACTTGTAATACTTTTCATTGCTGACTTGTGGGGAATATTTATCACTGCCGACTTGTGGGGAATATTTCTCACGTAGGTTATATTTATCATTGCCGACTTGTGGGGAATATTTCTCACGGTTCATTTGTGAGGAATACACATGTATTGACCATTGCTTTACCCTTAAAAATTTGTTTCCATATAAATGTTGCCTTTGAGCCCAACCAATAAATGTACACTTCAGTGTATATTGCTGACTTGTGGGAAACATTTATCACTCATTTGGAAATGCATTATTTAATTACCGTATATATTCGCCTATAAGTCGGTCCGCCTATAAGTCCGTTGGATTTAATAAGGTTATATACGAGGGCCGTTCAAAAATTACGCGGACTTGTTGCACAGAAAAAATATTTGACAACATAATCGGGCAAAATGTCACACATAATATAAAAGAATCTTTACTTATATGGTCTTCAAAATTTCACATAAAAATATTGTAAATTGGTTTCAATTTTGAGTGATTTTCAGGACATATCATTAAGTCACGGAGCAGCAAAATCTTCGCCGTCACAGGCATTATAAAAAGTATGTGATTGATCTCTCATTTTCTCAAAATTTTCCCAAGAGTACCTGTTCAGTTTGATTTACCTTATCTACTCAACATCCAAACACCATTTCTTGTCAAGCTTATAAATCGATTAAACAAGTAAAGAATATTCATTTTTGTTATAAAACCAAAAACTTCAGGTATTTATGAGATATATTGTAATATTAGTGACTCTCAATCATGTTCTTTACAGTCCGGATAAAGTTTTCGTCGAAAATCTTCTTCCCGTCCTCACGTATAGCCTTTTTACAGAGGTCTAACAGTCAAAAATATCAAATTGCTATTTGTGGACGAATGTCACGAATACCCAAGTTTACTACATGTTTTATTATGCATATTTTGGATCTATGTTGGCGATATCTCGAGCATTATACATAATTTAATAAAAGTGTGGTGCGCCGTCCATTCAGGAGACGTCATTTTCACAGTCGTTTTCACGGGAATCGCATCAGAGAAAAATCACTATATTTCTTTAAATACTTCAAATATCACGTCAGAAATCTAAATACATAATAATAGAACAATTTAAAGATATATTTGAGAAAATTGTCGAAAAATGTTGCGAATTATAGAAAACAAATGAGTTAAATTTTGGATTCCGCATGCTTTTGATTTAAATATTTTGTCTTGCTCCGTACCTCTCCATCAGTGATATCAACATTCCGATAATTTTAGTAAAAAGTTTTTAAAATACAACATTTTTGCTCAAAATTTATTGGAATCTTTAAGGTACATATTTCTGTGAAATTTCATAACTATATGACGTCTTTAAGAGTAAATAATAGCCAAGTCCGCGTAATTTTTGAACGGCCCTCGTATCAAAGGGACTGACCTCTTATATTACCATTCATTTTATATCTCGCCTATAAGTCGGATATAGAGTTTTGGACAAAATATTAACTCCCCAAAATCCGACTTATAGGCGAGTTTATACAGTATACAAGAACATTACAGATAAAAACTATTTTTCAACAAATAAAATAACTATCAAATCTTTAAAAAAATCAATCATCAATATTAATTAATAAATGTATTGAAACTAATGTTCACAAGTCTTAAATCAAAGCACATTAATTAAAACATTTCTTTTCCTTCACTAGATTTAAAACAAATTGCAAATTTATTGCAAATTTTAATTTTCTCTAGTAAAAAAAAAATGTTTTCAATTAAAAAATAATAAGTATGTTGAAAAGGATAAAATGTCATAAAATCAGGAGACGGTATATATAAGTACTATAATTTAATCATTAATGGATATAATCAGCCAATGACTAATTCTTATTAACCAAATTTTGATAACATTTTGTAAAATTTTCTGATTATTGTTAAACAGTTAGCATGGTTAGCATGTATATTTTCTGACAACTTCTCAGCATGTTCATGAGGCTTAACCTACATTGAAATCATGAACAAGGACCAAAATTTCTTTTTTATTTTAGATATACCATTTTCTATATTTCCATGTACATGTATTAGGCTTCATAACATACAAGATATCAGTATGCTTTTTTTTATTTCTGCTTTTAGAGCAACGGAAGTACTGTACACCAACTTTTATTTGAGTAGAAGAAATATTAGCCAGTTTCATGACCTACATTTACTAGTGAATATTAAATTATTAATTACCCTGAACTATTAATTTTGCTTTGTATTTGTAGAATGTTTCCTTTCAATAGTCACAGATATTAATCAACATAGATATGCAAATAAAAGATGACACAAATAGGGTACTATCTGGTAGTTGGTTTACAGTACTGCTCACATATAGAGTTCAAAATGAATTTTACAGCTATCTTGACTTACCAATACTAAATCCTTCTGTTTCCATAAACTAATCCAGACAAAATGCTTTCAGTTATAATACTCTAGTTCTTTACATCCTTCATGTCCATGCAAGCGTGTCTGTTGACTTTGACTCCAAGTCTCAGTCTCTAACATTTTGTAGAATAAAGTTGTATAATTTGCTCTTGTGGTGAAAAACCCCAAAACCTGCAATGATAATTTTGCTTTCAGTTTAAAGATTTCATTCCGATATTTTTTTTTCAGTGTTCATATTTTTACCTATAATTACAAGACAGGTATATCTCCACATCTCTCAATACATGTAGTAATTTTTGACCCCATGCGGCATGCCAAAATTAAGAAATAATGTATGCCCTTTCTTGATCCATATTGTTAACAGTGGGTAGGTAGGTATGAAAAATATTTTATTTTTTTCCTTCTTGTGACATGGCCCAGAGAGCTTTCCTTTTAAAGTCAACCGTACAATAACTGCGAAACAGAACACTTTCTCGTGGATGTTTGATGAGCAGAAACTGTTTTATATGCACAAAATCAACGCATGATAGTGCTGTTAGTATCTATTTAAATTCAATTAAAATGAGAATAGAAATTTACAGTGTAAAGTTACCAGAGGCAGATTAAAAATTTTTAGAAAGGAGGAGTGGGTGCAGAAATCAAATGGTTTTCTTCAAAAAAAAAAAAAGACCAAAATCAGGAAGCATTATCAGACCCAAAAGGCCAAAACTTTGAGCGTGATCGTTATGAGTACTTAAATTTGAAAAGGTATACATTCAGTTAAGCAAATATAAATGATTTTGAATAATAGATATTGAATCTTAAAATCTCAACATTAGGCCATAATAAATAAATTGCTAGATTGATTCTCATCAAAATTTTTTTTAAAAATCGGGGCGGGCGGCTTTTATTTTATATTTTTTATTTTTCAATTTTGCAGATTTTTTATTGACCTAGTCAATCGGTGTAATTTTATCTACAATACCTGAATAAAAGACATAGTAGAGGTTCCATAATTATCTCTTACTTCACATCATCACCAATCTTTTCAACCAATGACCCTTGTTTAAAATATATACGTGTGTATTACAGTAATTACCATCTTTTCAGCTGTCAAAATCATGTTGACATTCGCGAGATTTAAAACGAAAGTAGAATGATAGATGAATACCGATCCCGATCAGAATTAAGACGAAGAAAAACAGAAATAAAAAAAATCGAGGCGGGGGTTTAAAATCAGGGCGGGCGGGGATGAGAATCTCGGAATATTTTTATTATGGCCTTACCTTTCAATTTTATTACCAATTTTAAATTTTTTATATGCTAGCTTTCATAAAAGCTGATCTAATTGTTATTACTATGTTTTTCCATTTCCTCCAATTCGCATTCGCAATGTAAACCATGTCCAATCATAATTCAATAGTACCTGATGGTTTGAAAAGGATTTTTACTTATTTTTTACATATTATTTTGTTTCTTATTTATTCCATCAGCATCTAAACCCCAAGGCCAAGGTTCGAATTGAAACAGATTCTAAAAAAATAAAAGGTGATCTTTAATTAAGTAGTGTGTTTTCATCATGTTCACTCCCCGCCTAACTCTAAGAAATATAGGAGCCGGCTCTCAATTTTTTTCTGCTAATATCTTTCCATGAGTAAACTACTGTATGTATACTTTAAAATGCAGGCTTCATATTTCAGCGGCTTTGGTGCAGACAACAATGCAATAATAGACCGTTTCACGGTAACTGCTGTACTGCTCTTTTGCAGGGCAAAATGATATAGTTTGGTGTTTGGTGAAATATGACGTAAAAGTAATTGTTTAACATACGTCATTTACTTATCTTTCAACAAAAACTTCGCCAAACGTTATTATTTTGCCCTGCAGAAGAGCAGTACGGCAGTTACCGTGAAGGGGCTAATTCATGAATACCGCTAAGAAATCATTTACATATATACAATACACCTCACAAACATGTGTAGCGCTAATTTATGATTATGCCAACCCAGTGATTTAATATGCTAAAATTTTGAGAGCACCAAATCATATACACATATTACAGTATTCCAGTTTACAATTAGAAATGAAATCCCAATCTTGATCATTTCCAGGTTTGAGAAATGCATATCTTACACATATTAATCAGAAATATTTTGACAGTGAAATCCTGTGGGAAAGTGGCAGCGTGGCTGCCACTAAAATGTTAAAACAAAATAAAAATGTTTTTCCTACCTACTTACCCTATCTTTTCTAAGGTTAAAATATGAAACACTACCTATTTATCAACTTTTACAATTAATTCGCCCACACAGGCCTCACTAAACAGCTAAAGACCAGACAGTCGCACCGTCTAGCATAATTTGTATGGGCATGAGGAGGATAGGCACATGTTTCACAAAAAATGGGAACAAGCCTTAACCGCTTACCATATCCCGGGGGTGCTGAACTCATATAAATCCGTGGTTTGATTTTACAGGATAGCCATTAGGCCTATAAACATGATACAATTAAAAAAAAAAAAAGAGGTCTAGGTCGGGTCAAACTTTCCCAAACTGGCCAAAGTTTTACGTGCATTCATATTAAATGTTACTTTACGAACGTCTAGAAGAAATAACTGCATGCATGATTTACGTAGTTAAATAAGTTTTCAGCCTAATATCTTTTAAATATGATAAATAATCTACTTACCACATTCTCGGAGCAGCCATTGCCCGCAATAAATTGGTATCATCTGGGGACCAGTTTAAGCGTTCCGAATGAATCCTCAAACATTCGTTTTACGGTGCAGTGAGAAAATTACTGCGAGTCAATTTTACGGACTTATGGGGAAATTTTCAAAAATGACCACAAATCGAATAAATATTATAAGCAGAACACGTAGAATTCAAAAAACCCCATGACCATATTTGTGGGGAACGAGAGAGTTCCCCACAATTCTGAACTTTCCCCATAAGAAAGGTCCTTTGTCAGGTGTAAGTTCCCCACAAGTCGGTGAGCGCGAGTGCTCTCTCTCTCTCTCTCTCTCTCTCTCTCTCTCTCTCTCTCTCTCTCTATATATATATATATATATATATATAACTCTACAAGCAATGCATGCTATTAAAATATACTCACCTTTAAGAAGAAAATGTAATATTTTCAACTACTTTGTATCAAAGAAACCACGTTTTATGTTATTTGTAAAAAAAGCCTATGGTAGAGGCCTATAGTAGAAACATTGTACCATTTATTGATAAATTCCCCTCTATAACATCCACTTTGGAAACTTAAGATAATACTTCAAAGGACATTATACTTGACCTTATATATGTTCGACGAAGGGCTATATCATCGTTCTGAGGTTCGAAAAGAGTAATTTTTATTACAAAAATGTGACATTGATTTGTTAAAAAAACCATGTGAGCTTAAAATGTTTGTTGAGCTCTATAGCTGACTGTCTTCAAAAGAGAATATACTCGAAGGAAATAAATTAGCATACCCGTTTAACTAACTGAACTTCATATGAATTTCACAAAATATTCACGATATTTGCTATTAAACACCATTTTGCGTATCTTTGTACATGCCGTCTAAGCCAAATTCTCTTTACACGACATTATTAATTTACAAGTTACATTTTGTACACATATGATGTCATCGGTGGTAGATTTTGATCAAAATGACAGAATACAACATAACAAAATAAGAACATTTTATTTTTGTTAATGTTTACACGTTCCTATTCATTTTCTAGAATTAAATTTCATCTCTAAATACCAATTTTACAGAAACTTGTGTTCTGTTATTGACGTCATCTCGCCTTCTATGACGTCATAATGTAGCACTGATTTTGTCAAGGTAGAAAGTTTGTATGCTTCCTTATTCCCCATTGCGTTATTTTCTTTCTCAAACTGTCCGTCTTTTTGTCGATTTATGCGGAATGAGCAAGAGCTTTTATACTTAACAGATGACTTGCTTGTAAAAAGACCTTTCCTTTCTTGCAGTACAAAAATTTATATCTTTGAACCTTGGAGTACAACCTACTGTTGTAAAAAAAGTTATGGAGAGAACGATCATAGGCATTTATGCCTGCTGTTCAATCCATTTCTATGAATAAAATATATTTTAAACTAAAAAAAAAAGGAAATCGATCAGAAATCTTGATTGTAGGGCTTTCATATTTCATATTATTTTGTTTTTCTTGTAACAAAACCATGTCTTGCGTACGGACTATTTTGATTTGTTTATTACTTGACCTTAAAGTTTGTCATACATTTGACCTTAAAGTTTGCCTTACTTTAAAAAAAGAAGTACATGATCTTATTACTTGCTCTTCTATATTTCATGTTTTCCCTCTGATAACATATATTTTCAGGTTTATGAATTTGACATTTACTTCAAGATTTTTCTCACTTTTAAAAATTTTAACATTGGCCACGCGAATGCAAACAATTGAAGCTTCGGCTTTCCTATTTCACATTTATAATCTTTGGGTTAAAGCTTCTTGGTTACTGACTGTTTTGTCCATGACTTTGAAATTCGCCCTCTTTAAAAAAATCATTAACTATGGCCTTATCTTTTCAATGCTTGGTGCAAGTGAATTGATATTACATATGATTTGACTTTGAGGAGAAATTTATTCCAACAGCTACGATATTTTTTACATTGAACTTGGAGTTGGACTTGTTACGGATGACAGCATACACACCTTTCCTGACACCGGATGTACCAGAGTTATACAAATAAAGTTTTTAATAAAAGACAGATTATATAAATCGAGGACGAAACCTATTCATAGTTAAAAAAGATAGGATAATACATATATCTGGACATCCATTTACCTTTGAAAAAGAGATGCAACTTCAACAAATGCCCCGAGAATTCTTTTAGTAGAACACATTGTAACAGATTGGTACTTTTTTTTTCCAGAGGATGTTTCGGTTCTCAGTTTTCCCAGTATTGAGATCTTAAGCTGCTTTGTGAATCCACAAACAGTTCAACAGATTGGGCTCAAACTTGGCGTTTCCAAATTTTTATTAAATGACGCAAAGAATAGTGTGATAGATGAGGTCAATGGGCTACATCATCCAATCATGTTTCAGAATTTTTGGATACTCTGGGCCTGGCGGGGCGAGAAGGTAACAAAGAAGAAGGTGGATCAACTTTTAAACGTCTTACGCGGAATAAACGAATGGGAACTTGCAGTGATTGTCAGTGATGCGCACAAAGAAAACAGAGGAATCCGAGTAGATGATTTCAAGTCGACTTCAAGTGGTTACTGCATATTTTAAAATTACAATAAACCCCGATAACATCTTATTTTTCCTGGGAGACAGGAGATATCTAATGCATGTATTCTTATATGATTGTGACAAACTGAGCACGTCATGAAACAAGATTGATGTAGTTTTTGACCAGAATGAAATTCCTTGAAAGATAATTTACTAATAACTAGTACACGATTGTTGAATAAAAATATTTTGTATTTTGGGAATATCTGAAAGAAACATTTCACATTTTTTAAAATTTATTTTTTGCAACTTGTTATTTATACTGTATTAACAGTCATGCAAATGTATAAGTAAGTTTTAAATATTTTTAAGTATTGATAATAAAAGACGATGTAATGATGCATGTACAGCAATAAAGTGGATTAAATGGTATAGTATGAAATCTATATTACTGTTGCGTTGCACAGGAGAAATAAATGTAGTATGTTACTTGCATTTATATATGTTATGAATACAATCGATATTAAAAGAATGTTTGTTTTGATGCCTAAATTTGTCATATATGAATAAGATTTACAGCTTATTTCAAAGAAATGTATGATTTTACTACGCAAACCTTTGATATATTTCCCCTTTTTTTATATCTAAGATATTAACTTTAAGTATTTTTGCAAATATTTTATAATACATCAGAGTAATTTTTCCTAACTAAAAAAAAAAAAAACAAAAAAAAAAACAAAAAAAAACAAAAAAAAAAAACAGTGCTTTTCCCCAAAAGACCTTAATTTGCTTCAAAAATACTATCTTTTAGATAACATTAAATTCACAAAATGGCGCAATATAAGGGAGGTAAGATTTTCACTATTTGATTGTTTTTCCATTTAAATATTTGGTCGAGTGTCACACATAGTGCAAGGTATTTCAACCATGACGGTTTGACGATATCTTATTTTTCTTTGTTTTTCTTTTATATTGAATCTAAAAATGATAACTTCATATTTTTCAAATAAGATAGTTCACGTTCATTGAAATAATGCATATTTACCTAGACCCATTCCTTTTGCCGAGTTTAAATTGACAGATAAGATTGTTTACATCACCTCTATATTTTCCATACGATTAGTCATCTAGTACAG